GCCGGTGTAGTTGAAGAGGGTGACGTTGCCCTCGCTCATCCCGTAGGTCTCCACGATCCTGACGGGCCCGAAGCGCCTCTGGAAGCTCCTCCAGACATCGGGACGGAGCCCGGAGCCCACGGCCAAGCGCAGCCCGTGCTGCCGCTCCCCGGGGCGCTGCGGGACCACCGGCACCTCTGGGGGACCCCCAAAATCTGGGGGGGTCCAATGAACCCTCCCGGTTCCAAAGAACCCCCCCGGTTCCAAAGAACTCCCCTCAGTGCCGCTCCGGGACCACCCACACCTCCCCAAAATCCGGGTGGGGGGTGTTTTCCAAAGAATCCCCCCCTTTTATCCCGATTTCCCCCCCTCCCCTCCCCTCCCGGACCTGGGGCTGGTTGACGAGGTACCGGCACAGCTCCCCGATGTACTGGAAGACGGTGACGCCCTCGGCCCGGCAATCGTCCCAAAACGTGCTGGCCGAGAACTTGTCCCTCAGCACGCACGTGGCTCCTGGGGAATCCCGGGAAAAGGAGGGTGGGGAAAAAAAAGGGGGATCAGCAGGGGATGAGGGGGGGGAAGGAGGGGATCAGCCTGTAAATCTGGGTTATGGGGATTTCTTGCAGCTGAGAGTCGGGGATTTCGGCCGAGATTTGGGGATTTCAGCTGAATTTCAGGGATTTCAGCTGAATTTCAGGGATTTCAGCCGAATTTCAGGGATTTCAGCTGAATTTCAGGGATTTCAGCTGAATTTCAGGGATTTCAGCCGAATTTCAGGGATTTCAGATGAATTTCAGGGATTTCAGCGCCTTCCCGAACTGCTCTTTTATGTTCCCCGGTCCGGAATTCCGGAGGGCAAAGACACCACCCCAAAAGAAGCCTTGAGATGGCCCCAGCAGGACAGGGAGGGTTGATGACGATGATGATGATGATGAAGATGAAGGCAGGACAAAGTGTTGTGTGGGGGTTTTTTTTTGGGACCACCACACCCCCCCTAATTCTTGGTTGGTCCTCTCCCCGATCCCCCCGAGGGTCCCGGCCCCTCTCCCCGATCCCCCCGGGGGTCCCAGTCACTCTCTCCGATCCCCCCGGGGGTCCCAGTCCCTCTCCCCGATCCCCCGGGGGAGTCCCAGCCCCTCTCCCCGATTCCCTCTGGAGGGTTCCGGCCCCTCTCCCCGATCCCCCCGAGGGTCCCAGCCCCTCTCCCCGATCCCCCCGAGGGTTCCAGCCCCTCTCCCCGATCCCCCCGAGGGTCCCAGCCCCTCTCCCCGATCCCCCCGGGGGTCCCAGCCCCTCTCACCGATGCCGAGGCAGCCCACGACGCCCAGCAGGGCCCCCGCCATGTGGTAGAGGGGCAGCGCCAGGTACACAACGTCCCCTCGGGAGGCTCCCACCAGCTCGTAGAAGTTCAGGCACATCACCGACTTGAGGTGGGACACTCGGGCGGCTTTGGGGAGCCCTGGGAAGGGGGCGCGGCGTTGAGACCCCCCCCCCATCCCATAACCCCACGATGCTCCCCCCACCCCTCCCTCCCTCCCCCCCGGGCCGGCCCCACCGGTGGTGCCCGAGGTGAAGATGAACAGGCAGGTCTCGTTCATGTCCCGGGGCTCCCAAACGTCCTCGGGCTCCAGCTGGTCCGAGGCCTCGTCCAGCAGCTCCTGCAGGGCCACGACCCCCGGCGGGTACGACCCCCGGCCCAGCACCCACACGGCCACGCCATCCTCGCGCAGCGTGGGCAGCAGCGGCTCCACCGACCCGAACAGCTCTGGGGAAAAGGAGGGAGGGGGTCGTGAGGGACCACCCTGCTGTCCCCACCCCATCCTCGCTCCCCTCCCGTATCCCCCGGGGGTCCCCTCCCCGATATCCCCCTCCCGGTGTCCCCAGCCCCTTCTCCCGCGGTGTCACCCCCGTTACC